CAGCTTCTTATTTCTTTTTCCAAGCGCCCTGTTCTTGTTAAGTTTCCGGAACTGCAGCAGAACAGCGGCGCGGTGGGCCAGGCCGTGGTCGCGGTGGGGTTTGAGAGAGCTCAGCGGCGCGGTGGGCCAGGCTGCGGTCGCGGTGGGGTCTGAGAGAGCTCAGCGGTCTGTGTCCTGAGATGGCACCTCGCACGGCGCCCTCGGAAGCCACAGCAAGCCTCATCCGCCCGGGCACGAAGGGAGGTGGCAGGGAGTTCGGCGTCGGGCGGGGACAGTGGCGAGTTTCTAAGCAGCGTTGACGCTCATCTGTCCTGCTGGCTTCTCTGTCTCGAGTGGTGAGCACTGTCCCTCAGCTGTCCTCCTGCTTTTGGCTAGCCGTGACCATTTTAGATGTTTTCTGAGGGTCTTTCCCAAGGCCCTTTAGGAGTGGATGGGGCTCTGCGTGCCATAAGCAGCCAGACGGTGCAGTGGTTGGTCAGCCTCTCCCTTTCCCGTTCCTCCCCGGGGCGTCTGGGCTGCGGGCAGCTGGAAGACAGAATCGCCCTGCTGGGATAATTCCTTAGAGAACACAAGAACTTTGAAACTGCACACGCACACACACTCTTACACATGTGAGCCACCAAAAGGAAATTAGGTTCCAGTTGTTGAGTTTTGAGAGAAAAACTATTTTACTAGTCAGTTGAATCATCGTTACTTGGGACATTAGGAATCGCATTTGTTCCAAAAGGAAGACTGTGCAGTGGTGTCAGGAGAGCAGCTCGGAGGAGAAGCTGTTGGCCTTGTAATATTTTTTGTTCTGATTGGACCTTGGAATGTGTGCTGTGCAGTCAAGTGTTTTCCCCTTTTCTGAGAAGGCGTCACTTCCATGTCAGGGAAGAAGATCCATCACTCTTTAAGTCTCAAATTATGTCCCAAACATGGCGTCCACCATTATTCCCCTAGGCAGCTCACTGGTCAGTGTGGAAGAGCAGAAAGACAGACCTGAGTCCTGGCTCTTCTCTCTAACAGCAGGGCACCCTTCCGTCCCCCTCCGCTTCCTCATTGCAAAGCAGGAACTGGGGGCCGGCCCCGTGGCCGAGTGGTTAAGTTCGCACGCTCCGCTGCAGGCGGCCCAGTGTTTCGTCGGTTCGAATCCTGGGCGCACACATGGTACCACTCATCCAGCCATGCTGAGGCGGCGTCCCACATGCCACTACTAGAAGGACCCACAACTAAGAATATACAACTATGTACCGGGGGGCTTTGGGGAGAAAAAGGAAAAAAATAAAACTTTAAAAAAATAATCATAATAGCTACCGATTGTGGCAGATTTCCGTCACCATGGGCCAGGTACTGCTGCTGAGGAGCTCACATAGCTCTCTCCTTCAGTCCCCCGTATCAAGCAAGGCTCTTTACCTGTGGACTGGGAAGGGCTTTCCGAGCACACAGCCATTAAGGACAAGACAGAAGACGCAAGCTGTTGACTTAAGGACATAACACTTAGCTTTAAAACTCAAAAGGACTAAGTACCCTTAATATAAAATTTTCAGAACTCTCAAACCCTTATAGAAAAATAAGCAAAGCTAGGAGTAATTCAGAGAAAAGCAAGTACAGTAACTAAAAAACATTTAAATATTTGATCTCACAGGTAATCAAAGAAATTAAGAATACCACTTTTTGACTGTTAAATGGAAAACAACAGCATTTTTTTTTAAGTGAAAATACTCAGTGTTAGCCAAGATATAGTGAGAGCTGCACTCTGTGACGTGGCTGGGGGGCATGTAAACTGGAACAGGTTTTCTCTGGAGCAATGTGACAAAATGTGTCAAGAGCACCCACAAACGTTCGCACTCCACTGATCTCGTGACTCCGCTTCCAAGAACTTACCCTGAGGAGATTCATCAGACAGGTGGGCAGGGGTTATGTAAAAATGCTAACCTCTAGGGTTTTTTAATTGGATGCAACCCAAATGGCTAACAATAGAAGGTAACTCCATAGGATAGAATAATAGGCAGCCATTAAAAATTGTGTTTTTAAGGAATGTTAAATGATGTGAGGGAAGTTCTCAAAATATAATAAACAAAATGATCTCAGTTTTATAAAAAGGGAACAAATACATAAGGTTTTAAAACTAGAAAGAAATACACCAAAAATACCAAAATGTTACCAATGATCTGTGTCTAAGTGGTGGGATTTGGGGTGGCATTTATATTCTTTATGCTTGTCTTGATTTGTTCAGTGGGATCCAGAAAGAGACAGAGACGGGAAGAAGATCGTGTGTTATAAAACAGCCCTCTTTGAGCTGTTAATGTATTGGGGTATAAAGATTGTAGTTAATGTAAACAGAGATATTTTTAAGGCCTTCCCCCATATCTGTGGCTCTGCCAGACCCGGTAAATCAGGAGAGAGCGACGTGGAATCAAGGGCATGCTCACAGCCCATATTTGTGGTAGGTGTTTTCTTTAAATAAAGCCTCTCCAGACCCAGGCTACTGTGGGACACCAGCGTCTTGTTGCACAGCGGTCGTCAGCACTCGCCTTGTCACCTGCTGACTGTGCATTTGGACGTTCAACTCCACCTGAGTTTTCTGAGCAGAGGAGGTTGGGTGAGAGTCTCTTTTGTCTGTTAGATGGATTGAGAAATAGGCTCACTCACTACACTAAACCTGCATAGCAGATTTTGAGATTTTGAAATCAATTTGTTTTAAAGACGTCAAGGGATATGGTTCTGTTTGGGCAGGACAATCACAAGTACCAGCCCTGCATATTTGAAAGGTGGGGGTGGGGGGGTGGGATTGTCTTAACTAAGGCTCCCAGCAGCACAGTTCCCAGTGCTTGGTGAAATTAAAAGCATTCTTCCCTTTACAACCTTATGGGCACTCCCTCCGGACTCCGTGCTGTGCTAGCCCAGAAAACAGTGTGAAACCAGCATACATCTGCAACTGTATAAAAGCAGTCTCTCACTTTGTGGCTGCGTTGCACACGTGCACGCACACACACTCTTATAGCTCGTGATATGACGCAATTCCACTGGTACATGCCACCATGGAGGAATATCTGTATAGACAGATATAATCACTAAGTGTGGGGGTTGAAAAATGCTTATGGTGTCCAAGGATTAAAAAATGTTAGAGAAGAGGAGAATAGAGTTCTCAATCCTATTGAAACTAAATGTCTGGTGCTAGAGCCTGGGGATGTGTATTTTACACTTGATCTCAGCCAAAAGCCTGAGAAGCAGTGGGAATGTGTATTTTAAAGACTCTCCAGGAAATTCTGATGCAGCCTGTTGAAGCTGGCAATTGGGAACCACTGTCTTTGCAGAACTGTGCTGTCATATTTTCTGCACTGTCCAGTATGGTATCCACTAGCCACCTGTGGCTGTGGAGCTCTTGAAATGCAGCTATTCTAGCTGAGGAACTGGATTTTTAATTTTAATTAATTTTTAATTCAAGTGTAAATAGCCACATGTGACTGGTGACTACCGTGTGGGACAGGGCAGCCTCCGCCTGCAGTCTCCCGCCCTTCCCCTCGGGGAAAGGAAGCCCCATATCAGCCTGCTCTTCCTCCAGGTGGTGCATTTCATCACTGTGACGCAGTGATGCTCAGAGGATGGCTCAGGGCTTTCACGTGTAACTTCTGGGGACTGGTGGCAGCAGATGTGGCTCCAGAACCTCCTACCGGGAGAATCCAGGGGCCATGATGGCGTCCGTAGGCACATCCAATCTTGTGAGCTGACTTGTATAGTATAATTTGCTCGCCTGGCCTTATGCCCCCTGCTCAGAACATAAAATGGTGCTTCTGACAACCTTTATCATCCCACAAAACAGAACGCCAAAATCTAATTCTCACCCAGGATTTCTAACCCAGTATGTTTGCTTTTGGAGTTGTTTTATTTTTAACTAAGGAAACATTTATAATCTTCTCTCCTGTTGTGTAACGCGTTTAAAAGTTCAGCGTGGTGAGTTTTTATGAGACTTTTATGGGAAGCCAAGTGTTGTAAACATGTCCAAATTCTCACAGCCGTGTAGCTTACCACATCCTTGTCCTCTGCACACCCACCTGATTTCCTTTCAAAATATGAAACACATGGGTCAGAGTTCTCCAGTTATTCCAGACACAGTGTTAGGGTTCCTCACATTCTAAACCTGGTGAGATCAGGATAACTCTTGAACAGAAACAGTATTCCCCCTCAAGACTGTAAGCTACGGGGCCGGCCCCGTGGCCGAGTGGTTAAGTTCGTGCGCTCCACTTCAGCGGCCCAGGGTTTCGCCGGGTCAGATCCTGGATGCGGACCTGGCATCGCTCATCAGGCCATGCTGAGGTGGCATAGCTCCACCAGAAGGACTTACAGTTAGAATATACAGCTATGTACTGGGGGGCTTTGGGGAGAAGATGGAAAAAAAAGGAAGATTGGCAACAGATGTTGGCTCAGGGCCAATCGTCAAGAAGAAAAAAGACCGTAAGCTAGATGGAGGCAGGGCCTGGGTCCGCTCATCCTCGGCTGGGCTCCAGCACAGTAGTGTGACACCAGCCATCTCTCAGAGGCTTGGTGCCTGTTGGTTGAATGAATTAATGTTCTTGCCATAGAGTAAGTGGGCTGAAGGGACAATGTAAGGAAGAGAGAAGACAAGATCCAGGGAAAGGCCACATATGGGATAAAAGCAATTTGATTTAGAACAAAGCGCTCACCCTCCACTACTGACTTTGTCATATCCAGCAGGGAAAAGAAGAGAGGGAACAGCACCACGTAGCCTGGGTCTGTGCTGGTGCAGCTCGCTGGGTCCCGTGATGCTGATTTCCCAGCCCCGGGATCACAGAGGCTCTGAAGGGTTGCAGGTGCCTGTGGAGGTGGAACCCGGAGGGCGGTTTAGCTTCAGCTCTTAATAATGCACATGCTCTTGTGCTGTGGCCTGTTTATTTTCCTCTAATGTTACAATTCTAAGAACCTTAGCGGTTAGCCTGCCTGTGGTTCTGATGCAGCAGCCCGCTCATCAGCATTTTTTTATTTTCCTGAAATTTTAGGCACAGAAAAATGAGCGAGAATCGATCCGACAGAAGCTGGCCCTCGGCAGCTTCTTTGATGACGGGCCCGGGCTTTACACCAGCTGCAGCAGGAGCGGGAAGCCCAGCCTCTCCTCTCGGTGAGTGCGCATTCAGTTGATTTCCTGGTATGTTCCTAATTGGTTTTGTCATCTGACTATGTTTAATAAAAGATATCCTTTAAATCCCCGGATTTTTTTTTCCCCATAATACCACCACCTTTATGTGGGTTCTAGACAGACCCCTCCCCACCTGTTTGTTGGGTTTGTTTTTTGGTTTTTAGTTTCTGGCCCATTTGCCCAGCCACTTAAGGTCAGATTTCCATATTTCATTTTTTTCTAGATACAGTTCTGACCTTGCATGTGATGGGGGATCGAGGCACACTCTTAAGCCAGCTGATGCTTAGAGAAGTGTGCAGACACCAGCTTTCCCATTAAGCAGTCCCAAAGCATCCAGCGTCACCCTGGTAGACGTGCCTGCAGTTAACATCCATCACTAAGAAATACAAGTCCCACTTTGCTCTTTCAGTGTCTGTCATAGTGCTTAACCCATCCTCCAGGTGATGTTTCTTTATCTTAATTTATTTCAGGATATTGTCGGTCGTTTGCATAGCTTCTAATTCCAATTAAAATATATTAAAATTATAATTGACCTGGAAAACAAGGTTGTAAACCAGAGCTCCTTAATGTCCATATGAATCACCTGGGGATTTTGTTAAAATGCTGATTCTGATTCAGTAGGTGGGACTGAAGATTCTGCATTTCTGACAAGCTCCCAGCTGACGCCCACGCTGCCAGTCCACGGGTCGCACTTTGATTAGCGAGGGTGTACACAGTCTGCAGCGTTAACTCGTATGGGTACAGGTGTTGCGAGTGATTGAAGCACGTAGAACATTGTTTTAAGGAAGATGGGAGGAACTGAAGACCCGTCAGTGCTCTCTTCATCCCTCCCCGAATGTCTGTCCTTCTCAGGACGTCTGTGTCTTCCTTCCCGCTGACAGCACGTGTTCCCTGTGTAAAGACTAGGGATGTTTACCACGTTGAGCCAGGTATGGGACACACCTGATAGCATTCATGCATTCATTCAACCAACAGATTTCCACTCTCTCCTTCATGGGAAGCCTGGAATTAGACGCTTTAATATCTATTTATATCTATCCAGCTTTCAGTAAGCCTTGTACTTCAGTCTGATCCTTAGAGATTCATCTAAATCAGCAAAAATCAGCACACACATGCTCACATATATGCATATTTAGGAGTCACTGCAGGTGGGCTCGTCCCTCGAGGCAGGCGCAGTAGTCTGGCCACACTGTGTTAAAGCGTGTCTTCCACTCTGGGTGCCAGCGCAGCCTCGCAGGTGCCCTCGCTCTGCTCCTGTGTCCGTCCCCTATCCCTCAGCTGTAGGAGCAGCCCTTCCCCTCCCAGTGGGATGTGGCAGGCGAGCTCTGGCCTAGAGACCTGGAGGCCTGAGGATTCGTCCCCGTCAGCTTCTGATTTTGAGACTTGAACAGCTTACTTAGTTTTACCATGCCTCAGTTTTCTCATTTTTGTAAAAATAAGGGGATTGGACTGTAGAGTCTTACAGATCTCTGCTACTGCTCTCATCCCCAGAGCACCAAAAAGTTTTCTCCTAGAAACCCCATCTCTGCTCAGCAGCATCATATCTGTCTGGTCTGAATGGGGAGTTTTGTTTGAAAATCAAAGTTTATTTATATATATAGATATAGATATGTATGTGTATGTATGTATATATGGCTTTGAAAGTAAGCTAGAATTAATAATAACTACAAGGTGTATAATGACAACACAAAATAAAAGTAGCAGTGCCCTGTCCTATCCTTGTCCCACTCTCCAGAAACAGGAACCGTTAACTCTTTGGTTGTTTCTTCTGGTGTTTACCTACATATCTCTAAGTAAAATGCTGATCTTCTTAGCTTTTACTTTTAAATAACTATCTGTTGATGACCAACTATAGAAAATTGGGATTTAACTCTTTTTATAGCCTTCCCAGATGTATCTATTTATTCCGTCCGCCCATCCATTCTCCCTTTATAATTATTTCACAGTTTGGGGTCAAATACCTGCTCCACGTTTGCATTATTAAAATCTTATATTATTCACACTGACCCGTGTAGTAAACTATGATTACTTGGGAAATTTCATTGTTTGTCCTGAAATTAAAATGGCCTCATTTTCCCCTTGGCCAGTCTCCGGCCGTGTGTGCTGCCCACTCTCCACTGTGTGGATGCGTCCCAGCTCACTCGGCCGCTCTTCTGGCAACAGGCGCTGGGTGGTTCCAAAGCTTTTGCTCTGGTAAACACTGCTGCTTCTAATTGTAGACATTCTTGTGCATGTCTGCTCTCCATGTGCAAGAGTTTCTCTTTGGTGTATACCTAGGAGTGGAATTACTAGGAAAAAACATGAATGTTCACATTTAGAACATAATGCCAAACTGTTTTCCAAAATGATTGCAGCAAGTTACCAGAGTTTCAGAGATCCTGTGGATCCATAGCCTTTCTAACACTTGGTATTGCCAATTTCTTTTACGTTTTTGTTAATTGAATAGGTTATTAAGTGGTTTTTTCATTGTGTTTATTAGCTGTCTTTGTTTTCCCTTCTATGAAATGTCTGTTTGGGTCTTATGTCCAGATTACTGTTAGATTCTGCTTTTTGTTAATTGACTTATTGGAGTTCCCTGGTCATGGTACTAATCCTTAGTATGTCGGATGTATTGCAAATATCTTCTCCCAGGTTGTAACTTGTCTTTTCTCTTCCTCAATGTGTCTTTTATGATGACAGGTTCTTAATTTTAATATAGGGATTTTTAGCTGACTTTTCTTTTATAGTCAGTGCTTTCTGTGTCTTATATAAAAAAATCTTTGAAGCCAAGTTCCAAAAGATAGTAACCTAGATTTCCTACCAAGAATTGAAAGTGTTGGATTTTTTTAAAGTCTATAATCAATCAAGATTTGTTTTCTTGATTAGGGTATGGAGGAGAAGTCGGATTTCATCTTTTTCCCTACGCATGACCATTATTTTCTTGCCTTTTTTTTTTTTCTTGGTGAGGAAGATTGGCCCTGAGCTAACATTTGTTGCCAATCTTTCCCTTTTTTCCTCCCCAAAGCCCCAGTGGATAGCTGTATATCCCAGTTGCAAGTCATTCTAGCTCTTCCGTGTGGGATGCTGCCACAGCCTGGCTTGATGAGCAGTGCGTAGGATCTGAACTGGCGAACCCCAGGCTGCTGAAGCGGAGCGCGAGAACTTAACCACTCGGTCACGGGGCCGGCCCCCACATAACCGTTTTTCCATCATATTTGTTAAACGATCCCTCTTTTACTCAGTGATCTGGCAGACCACTTCTGTATATACTATACATTAATGGGAATACGTTCTTTTCATTGGTTAGTGTTTCTATCCCCTGAACCAACATCATATGGTCTTAATTACTATAACTTCAAAATAAATGCTGACACCTGGACAGGCAAGCCTCCTGTTTGTTCTTTTTGTCAGAGTGTACTGCCTTTTCTTGCTTTTTCGTTCTTCCATACAAATTTTAAATCATCAAATCATGCTCAGCAGAATACTCTCTCGGGATTTTGAATTGCATTGAACTGCATTGAATCTGTAGATCAGTTTAGGAGAGAATTACATTTTCACAATATCAGATCTTTCTATCAGTAAACAGGGCCTGTCTCTCCTTTATTTAGATCTTATATTTCCTATCAGAGGTTTATAAGTTTCCATTTAAAGATACTGTATACTTTGTTATATTTATTTCTAGATATTTGATATTCTGATATTACATTCTCTTTGGTAGTGCTCTCTCATCGTTTGCTGCTGGTGAACAGAAATGCAGCCTACTTTGTATACTTGTCTTATGTCCAGCCACCTTGCTACTATTGCACCTATTATTTCTCTACTATCCTATTATTTCTAATAAAGTCTGTCGATTCTTTGGGATTTTTAAACAATATCATCCAAAAAATATCAATTTTATTTATTCCTTTCCAATCCTCATGCCTCTGTCTTCTTTGTTTTATTGCACTGGGTAGGTACCCTGATATACTGAGGATTAAAAATGGTAGTAGTTGGAATCTTTAACTCATTTCTCATGTTAAATGGATGCTTCTTATATTTCCCCATTTAAGATGATGTTAATTTTTTCTTTAATGTTTCTCTTTATGAGATTAATGATGTTCCCTTATCCATAATTTACAAAGAATTTTTATGATAAATGGGTATTTAACTTTATCATATGCTTTTTCTGCTTCTGTTGAGATGATTATGATTTGCTGTATTAATCTGTTAATGAATTAAAGAATTACATTTACAGATTTTTCAAATATTGAGCAATCCTTGCATACCTAGTATATAGTATAGTATATATATTTGCATACCTAAAGCAAAATTGGTTGGGGGTATTATTTTCTTTTTCAGACACTATTGGATTTTATTTATGTTACTTTGTTTAGAATTTTTACATCGATATTCATGACTGACATGGGTCTGTTGTATGCTTTTCTTGTAATGTTTTTCTCTGGCTTTAGTATCAGGGTTATGCTGGCTTAAAAATGAATTGGCTACCATTCCCTCTTCCATATTGTCTGAGAAAAGTCTGCATAATATTGGAATAATTATTGAAGCCTGTTGTTTACTTTGTGTGTTTGCTTTAACTGCTTCCATTTCTTAAATGGCTGTGAGATTGTACACACATTTTATTTCTTCTTGAGTCAGTTCTGATGAGTTGTATTTTTCTAAGAATTTGTCCATTTTGTTTGTTTTCAAAATTTTAGGCATGATACTTTCTCATTTCACTGAGGGTTTACTTTTGAATTCTTTTAAATGTTTTCTTCTGATCTCTACATTGTCCATGTTTTTTTCTGTTTATCTTTTTTGTTCGTTTTGATTTCTGTCCATTAATAATCAAGTGTGAAACCGTAAAAGCCTTTTGTAAACTGTAAGGCTGGGCTCGGTGATGTGCATTGTCTCCTACAGTGACCTCCCCTGACCACCAGTTAGAAAGGAAACACCCAGCACGCCTGCCGCTCTCCCTCCTCTTACCCCGATTTGTTTTTCTTTGTGGTCCTTATCACTACCTGACA